GTGCTTAGTCACGTGACCAACCCAGTCATAATCCCAAGTCCAAAACAATGTCCTTCCACCATCATAATAAAATGAAAAGGGCGTAAGTCCCTTTGAGGAAAAAGATAGGGGCTATTGACACGTGTTGTCACATTACCCCCCTCCTAAGGCCTGGCGACCCGACAGGCTAAGCCCGTATGGCGACCTGTCTCCCATTCATAATCAGTACCGTTGCCATCGGTAAAGTTTTCCCTTAACCCCCAAGGCAGCGACACAAAGAACGCAGCGTTTAGTTTTTGCAGAGCCGAGGGATTCTGTGCATAGAAATCCCAGACGGCGTCTTCCATGTTGATGTTTTTTGCTGGTTCCCAGGCCGTATCCCTTCCACTGCACCAGGTATTGGAGTTGACACCGGAAGATCCGGCTGTCGATTATCTCCTCCACCTCGTATTTCTCTTCTCCGTCAACTTTGACCGGAGGTGGCGGCAGCGGCAGTTGCCCATTAACTTTGTTGCCTTTCCATGGCAAGAGCTTGTCCACGTGAAAGATATTGTGGACTTTAAGCTGTGGGGGAAGCTTGAGTCGATAATCAAGATCACCAACCTGCTCGATCACTTCATAAGGACCGAGTTGGCGCGGGCCTAGCTTACGGCTTGCTTAGTGGATTGAGATGTTCTTCGATGCAAGCATGACCTTATCCCCTACTTTGAATTTGTGAGGGCGAGTCCGTCCCGGAGCTCGGGAGTTTTTCATGTTCTCCTTATCAAGTTGCATGGCAGCTTCGGCATCTTCGCATGCTTTACGCAGCTTACGGAGGCGCTGGTCTAGCTTTGGCATGCGCGTTCCTCCGCCGACCGGAACTGTAAAGTCTGTTGAAATAAGGCTAAGCCCTGGCCTGTTGCACACAATCAGAGCTTAGTGATATCCTCTATATCAACTACCAACCTGTTCCCACTATCGGACAGGTAGCTCAGTTGGTTAGAGCACCCTTCTAGAATATGGGAGGTCCTGGGTTCAATCCCCGGCCAGTCCACTTTCAGGCTTCAGCATCATCACGCCGCGGTTGTCCTCGGAATCTGAGACCACATGCTGGTTAAGCCTTGAGAGCGGGTCTGCCTGCATCAAGCTTCTAGCCTTATGAGTCATTTTGAAATCGAACCAACTGAGCCAGATCGTCCAGCGCGCCT